AAAATTAGATGTAAAAAGTGTTTTTGTGTTTTAGAATTTTTGGAAATTTTTGTACTAGGGATTTACGGGAAAGAGTTAGAATTATTTTTTGTATCTTGTATGAAAAAAAAATAAAAAAATAGTTTCAAAGTTATATGAATATATATACTATATGAAATTAATAGTATAATATAAATATTTTTGCAAAATATAGATAGCTAAGTATATAAAATATAATAATAAATAAAATAATATAATAATAATAAGTTATAAGAAAATAAATGCATCATATCACCTTATAGCAGAGCTATACCAACAAACACAAAAACTTATAGCTATACCAAGTTATATTAAAGAAAGTTTACCTACAACTGCCTCTGTTGTATAGCCAACCAATTGCATGAAAATAATGTACCTATTTCCCTAAAAGACAAGTATAGCTTAAATTTGACCAATGGTCCATAGAGTAGATCAAACATAGTATACAAACTGATTATATACTAACTATTAAAATCTAGGTGAGTCTTGACTACTCAGTAGGTTTAGGTTACAAATAATCAACTTAGCCTTAGCCAAGTTTTTAGTCTGAGCTCTTATTCTTGTATATAATTTATAATTTTTGTTAATATACAAATTAAGTTGTTATATATAGTTTATATAATTACTTGTATAAATTACCCAATAAAGATACAAGCAAGGTCTTACCTTATTACCAAAAAAAAAAGTTATAAAAAAATAAAGAAAAAGAAAATAAAGAAAATTAACTATCTACAATAGTAAATTTATTTTCTGTATATTTTTTATATAAATATTTTTTTATTAGGCAATACTAAATATTAAGTAATACATGAATATATATAAATATATATCAAGAGCTTCATATATTGAATCTTTTTAAAGTTCATGAATTATCTACTTCTATGTTAAGATAAGCTAAGGGTGTTTAGTAATTATATCAGAATTATTCTAAATAAGAGTATATACTAGAAATATAGTGCATAGTTTACAGACAATTGACAATACATAAAATCTTGTATAAAACTAGATAAAAGATTAGTATAATATAAATACCATATGTAGTATAAAATATCTGTAGTTTAAAAAATTGTATATACAGTTGACCTCTCAGAATCAGTATATATAATGGACAGGTTTTGTATCAGTTTTGAGAGGTTATTGGATTTGAAGACATTACAAGCTATTAGATTTATATAACAGGAATGGACTTGGTAGACTAATTTTTTATCAGTTTTGGCAGGTTATCAGTTTTGACAGGATCAGTTTTAAGAGGGAAGAGGCAACTGTATATATATATATATATATCTACTAGTATTATATATTATAGTTAAACTAATCTTATCAAAACTAATAACTAGCTACAATTAATCAAAATTAATTTACTAAGCCTGTATATGCAGTTGTGAAATTATGTATATAATATCTAAAAATTTGTATTTTTTACATGATAAATTAATAAAAATTGGATAGTGCTAGGAGAAAAGTTTCATATTTTAATAGTTTACTATAGATCTGCCAAATATCTGCTAAATATTGCTGTATATTAGAGGCATATTAATAATATAACAGTACAATATTGTAATATTCTAATATTTTATATTTTTATTTTCAATATTAAAGTAACCTCATTGGTTTGGAAACTTTTTGTTAGAAATCATTTGCTATTATAGTTACAATAAAGATACAACTAGCTATATATGCATCTTTTAAATATCTATTTAAATAGTCTGCCTACAGATTCTATACTAGATATCGTATCTATAATCCAACTAGAATATTACCCATTTAAACCTTTTAATTTTAACTATTTTTAAACATATTATACTAACCCAAGAACTACTTTCTGGCCCATTTTACTAAATTGCACAATCTAGCTTTAGGACTTCCAAGACTTATTATAGATTTGCACTAACTATTACTGGCTTGCATTTCTTTATTGAGTGGATGCATAGCTACTCTTGAGATAAACTTATCAGAGCCTTCTCTATTTCATTTGGGTCAACCTGGTTTTAAATAGTTGCCAAAACTCATACTTGTAGTTAGAATTATTCCTACTTAACCACTTTTGCCTTATAAGATTCACTTCTAATCCCAGTACCTGCATTCAAATTTTTCTTTTCTTTATTGGTCTATCTCTTACTTCCAACTGATAATCTAGAAGATTTGATTTTGGCTTGGCTTTAGGTGCTAGTATATTGTCTTGTCTAGGTATATGATTTCCTAGTATATGACTTTTTTCTCAAATTTGGTAGGCTGGTCCTCTGAATATGCCTGGCATTTTTCTGTTAGTTACCTGACTTTTATAACCCCTGGTTATAGTAGGTAGGGCCCTTACCACCAGTTTCCTATACCAGTTGGCCAGAGTTTGTATACTTCATAATACTTTACAGATTTTTAACTTTCTAAATTAGCAGTTAGATTGGTAAATCCCCCTACTAAAGGATCTTGTTATCATTCAGTTATCCAATCTTGGTTTTAACTTTCAAATTTGAGTCTTTCCTGTGATACTGTCAAAGATTGCTTACTTGGGTCTTCCCAAATGGGTTTTGATTATTCTAGTTTTTTTGCTTTTTATGCACCAAAGCTCTTATATAAAAATGGTGCTACCAAGATTACAGGTTCTAGTACCCAACTGATTGACAGATATAATTATTACTATAATGCAAGCTTATTTTTTAAAATCATTATTTGCAGTATTCAAACTTTGGACCTGCTGTTTGGTGGAGTGATGACTAGACTATTTTACTAAGCTACCACACCCTTATATTCTGATATTTTACTTGTAGACAGGGATCTATAAAATTTAAATTTTATTTATAAATAATTTTTAAATTTTTACATTTTTCTGCTTATAGGCCTAGAGTGCTAGAGTAATAAATCATATTATCCCAATATTGTCTGTAATGTTATCTATATTAACCTTTTTTCCAACATGTTGCTAATATATATATAGCAAGTATTTGACAAATCTATAGCAAACTATCAGGTATATATCAAAAAACTTATCTACTAGTATGAATCTGAATATCTGTGTTTCTCATAAGATTTATAGATAAAAATTTGTTAGCTTTGATGCTTAAGTAATTTTTAAATATTGTCAATGCAATTTTATGTTGCTTTGTTGCTACATAATATTTTATCAAAATTTTATAACCATTAAACCATGTCAATCATTACAGCAAGTATTAAGATATTTTTGAACCATGGCAAATGTAATGTGAGCCAGAACTATAGAATAACTTTTCTGCAAATTCTTATTATGTCTTAAAATCAAATATATTATTCTTAATAATATATGTAAATGATCAAGTACAATTTGAAATTATATTGAATTTTATTCAACAAAAAATGTGCATGCATTTGCATCCTTGTGCTTCTTGTATATTTATGCGCAGTTTTCCAAAAGAACGTACTTTTTTTGCTTATCTTTAGTCCTAATATTCTAGTTTTTGATATAATCTGTGTTTGTTTTTGATTTATTTGAACTCAAATAATCCAATTCCAGGTTTATTTAAACCCAACCCGGGTTTAAATAATCCACTTTGGGTTTATCTGAACCTACCTTGAAATCTATAGCTAAAATTATTTTATATTTAAACTTAATTTATAACAATTGAGATTATGCATTAGCAAAAAATTTATTATAGAATATAAATTTTAAATTTAGTTGTAGGGATGCTAGCGGTGCCCACTTGCACTTGTAAATATATATATTAGCTTTCAAAGACAATACAATATATAAATATAATACTACATCTCTGTTTAACATAACATAAATGTTGCTTATATGAATGTGAGGAGGGCATTAAAAAAAACACAAAAATAAAAAATACAGTAATTCCATTGGCTATAAAAAATATGTAAAAATGCAAAAAGTTAACTGCAATTTGATTGGTTAGTATTGTGTTTTTTTCATGCAAAATTTTAAAAAATAGAGGGGTATGTTAAACAGAGAATCAAATTGGTCTGGCCTAATTGTATTACGTCACTAGTTTAGCGCGACCACGTGTGCAGCTATTCTAATTTAAATGAAAAGTTAACAAATCTTATTTGAAATATTAATACTGTATGTTAAAATAGCTAATCTAATAACATTCCAAATAATTAAGAAGATATTTGCTAGTAAGTATGCATATCAAGCTGGATTATCTGAGTTGAAATGAAGGCGTAATTATTTTATGCACCTTTGTCAATAATTAAGGCATGGACGATTATTGTCAATAATATTTCCACCAATAAGTTTTATAAATTCTACACCATGTTTTGGAATATTTACTGCAGTAACTGGTAATAATTTAATTAAAAATTTATTTATTCAATTAGTGTAATCGTTAATATGGAAAGTAGGAATCGGATTTAATATGTAAACATACTTATTAGTAAAGTTTCCTTTAGATTGTTGTTTTACAAGGTTATAAATCTCAATAGTACCTTTAAGGTGGCAATGATTTTTAAAATCTAATGTGATACTAATTGGTTCTATTCCACGATTAAATAAAACTAAAAAAAAATAACAAAACAAATTAATTTTATTTAAGATTTAGTAGTTTAATTTAATAAAGTATAAAGGTTTTTAGTACAAACTTGCAACATATCCATCATTAAGTGGTCCAGTCCAAATATCATAAGAAGTTTTATTATCGGTTTTACTGTAAACCTGACATACAGATACTGTAATCCACGAGAATCTTGCTATTTTCAGAGTTAAATAAAACAAATTATGGATTTGTTAAGAACCTTAATGAAAAATAAAGAATAGACTATAATACTAAGGAATAAACTTACGTTTACAGAAATTATATCTTTATTTAATATTAACGCTTTTGATGTATCACTAATCTTAGTAAGCTATAGTGCAATTTAGAATTATTATTAACATTTTTATCAAATAATCATAAATTAAAAATTGATTAACAAAACTTACATTACATCCAAGTATTAAAGGGGCCTTCATGGCAGACCAAAATACATAATGTGTTACTTGTTCATCATAAGTTATTTCATCAAAACCTAATACAAGCATATCGGGATCATTCCAACCTCCTGGCCCTCCATATTTTGTAAGACTTATTTGTGAATCTATTATTGATACGATCGATGGCCAGGGCGCATTAATGTCTCTAGTTGTTCTCCAACTAAATTTATTTATTTAAATAACAAATAAACTATTAATTAATTATTATTATATTTAAATCATATATAAATTTATTATAATATTGAAATCATTAAATATGAATAGTTACCTATTGCCTCCGACACCAGATCCCCATAACCAAGGTTTAGTTGTTCTAATATAAAAAATTAAAATATATGCTTTAGTATTCTATAGATTTAAACAAGCATAATGGTTTTACTAAAATGTTTTTGCTAATTCATCTTACCATTCACAAATGTTATAGAAGATGGTAAGTGTATCTCCTATTATCTAGATAACATTTATATAAATATTTTTTTATTAGGCAATACTAAATATTAAGTAATACATGAATATATATAAATATATATCAAGAGC